TCATGATTCATCATGGTACATGCAAATACAGACAAGCTTAATACTAATCATGATTCATCATGGTACATGCAAATACAGACAAGCTTAATCTTAATCATGATTCATCATGGTACATGCAAATACAGACAAGCTTAATCTTAATCATGATTCATCATGGTCCATGCAAATTAGTACATCTTAATACATTCATTTATGATCCTTTATTACGGAATTTCTTCAAGTTTATTAGCGACAACTCCTAATAAAGATACGTGTAATCTCGTCAGGTAACATTCGTAATGCGTATACCTGTGCCATTATTTTTCTCACATTCTGAATTGAACCATTGATTAATAAATTCTGAAACTTTAGATTTAAATCTGTTAATCATATTTTAAATTTATAATAAATTTGAGAAAAAGAAGGTAAAATGTTGAATTCTTCAGGATTAGTTGGAAATGATACATATTTGATTGGTTTGGATAAAGATGATAATCAATGGTATTGGATTGATGATCATATGGAATTGAATTATACAAATTGTCGCGCATTAGAACCAAATAGTTGCTGCGGAAGGAAAGTGAAATGTGTTGCGGTAAACTGGAACGGAATAATGAACAATCAATGGGACGGTATCGATTGTAATAATATCCCTCCGGCAAATTTCATATGCAAAAAGAAACTTTAATCTACACTTTTGTAGTATCATTTATTATGAATCATTTGCTTCTTTACTATAATTCATTTACTAATATAATGGGAATAAATAGAAGTGAATTGCAATGAATTGTTATCAGTGTAATAATCCATTACATTATTGAAATATTTTAATTTTAAATGAATTCAACAGAATTTAAATTTAAAATCGTTAAAATCACATTGGAATAAATTGAAGTTTGATAAAGATGAAATATCTAGAGATTTAAACTAAAACTATTAAGGAATTGGCTGGGACATATTAATTGGTACTTCTGATCATATTTGCTGTAATACTTTTGACAAAAAAAAGAAAAATTATATCACCATTATATCAAATGGTACCACCATTATATGTGCAACAGTAAACATTTTAGATTTTTTTTTACTGTTTCAAATATCGGAACTTGTATTCATTACTTTAAAATGAAAGTTGATAACAAGCAAGATCGAAACGATTGTCACCGATGGACGTGTGCTTACTGTGTGACGTGAATAACGTATTTGACGTAATAAATACTTTACTGCAATTGAATATAGAATTTCCCTTACTCCAATAGTCGAAAATAAAGAATGTGATAGGACAAATACTGCCACTTTTTCTGCTACAGTTATACTTTTAAATTGATTGTTTTGTTAGTATAAATGCATTCATTTTATATGAATTGTACAGACACATACAAGCTGTACAAATATTCGGAATTGTTTTTTCATTGGATAGATTTTATATTAGAATTTAAATTTTGATTTTTATGAATGCATTATTATTTCAAATTTATTTCAAATGTATTTTTGAAATTTAATGTAAAAAGCAATTTCTCCTGCAAATTACATGCAAAATATTGAAAATATATGTTTAAAACAGAATTATAATTTGAAAGTAAAGTCTATTTTCAAGTATTGAATATATTTCTTTTAACGATTTTTGGTTGCTATTTTTTTACCGCAATATAGCCTTTATTTTTTCGAAGATATGTCAGAATTTGCTATCTCATCTACAAGAGAATATCAAGTGGGAATGTCAAATGTCACTTGTTGTCAATCATATATCATCAAAAAATAATTCTAGATATCACAGTAGCATATCTGAATGAAGTATGGAAAATGGCAGTATCATATCATCTTGAGTTAGCATCCTTATCATCATTAGTGGTTCTCCGTGTATTATTCTGGTGGAAAGGCAGTATTTGGAAGCATATCTACAAGGAATTACTAATCTCGACTATACTTTTCCTAACCATTTCATTCTTTTATCGGTCGGATTACTTCTTTGATAGAAAACAAAAATTGTGCAGATTTTTTTTTTTTTTCTATAGTAACAGAATATTAAATTATTCAAAACTAACTATAATTTACCAAAATTTATAAATTTTGTTTTCAATCCTTTATCTAAAATGTAATAAATCGAAGTGTGAAAACTTTTTTTTTTTGAAAATTCTTTAATCTAATTCATTTTAGCATTTTCGGAAATTTAGTGCGTTATTTCGATACACGATTGGAATACATACCTATTACTTTCATAGTTGGCTTCTTCATCGATATGACAATAAATATTTTTATTAATATTGGTTATATTGAATCATAAGTTTGTTTTTTCTCTTTTAATTTTAATTTTAAAATTTTTTGAGAATAGCTTTTTTCACAGATAAAATTTGAAAATGATCGATTCAAAGAATGCTTCTGAAGTGGAAAATAATGAAAATATGTCGCAGAATCCATTCGCTAACATATTGTATGCATTATTTAATATTTACTTTAATAAAAAATGTTATTATTTTCAGAAATGCATTATTTATTACTAATTATATTCATGGTAAGGATGAAAATATCAAGCAATTACTTTTAACTTTAACGCGATATTTATGTCTTACGCAAATTTTTGTGTTCCGTGATATCAGTATTCAAGTACGGAAACGTTTCCCGATAGTGACATCCATATGTAACCGTCGTGACATTAAATTGCTTTGATAGGGATTCTTTCGAAGGAAGAAAAAGAGAAATTAGACTTGACTTCATTAAACTTCAATAGCAAGTACTGGACACCAATACGATGGATTCATGCTACTGCATTGGAAGCACGGAAAGCGGAGAAAATTACTTCGGATTTTCTATACTGAAAATTATGCGCTGTAAAATTTCCCCAAAAATTTTAAATCATTAAATGGTTTTATTTCTCAATTTGAAATTTCAAAATTTTATCCCACCCAATATTTGGAAAAATATTTGAGTGAGAATTTCAGGAAGTTGACAAATTTCGTCACAACTTACAACTCTTATGCAATTACAATTGGGTACCTATACCGCTAGTTTATTCACAGTTAGACTTAAATTGCTATTCATTTTCGATTTACCTAATTTCATACCATTTACTTATAACTTCTTAAGAGTTATTCTAAATAATATATTCCTATTGTTGATTCGTTTCGTTGTTTACAGGTGTTGTATGAATTTATTCAAATGATGTGACATTTTTTTTCAAATTATTGTCATAAGGCAGAAGAAGACTTTTTTTTTTTCTCATGCTATAATTTTCTTGTTATCTTATTCAAATGGGAAATGATAAAATTTATTTTTAGCTGTTTACGTTTATTTCTTTGTATATCTTATCAGTCGACAATTTATCGTTAATGATAATACTCTCATAAGTGATATTAGTTTTGATATTTTTTGCTGCTCAAATTGGATTGAATTGAATTTTCGAAATCATATTTCAATCTGAGGCAATAATTTATGAAAACATCTGGATGCAGTTTTTTTTTTGTATTTAAATTCTGATATTATTGTGAAACACTAATAAATTGTTAGGAATTGTATGATCAAAAAATGAAATAAATAATTCATATCTATTTAAAAATGAGAATTTTGTTTATTAATTTAAAAATAACTAATTTTACTTGTGTGAATTTTTGAAATCAATCAATACATCTATTTTTGACTATTACTTATTTGAAGTTTTTTTAAAGTAATTTTCTGTAGTATTCTCTTACAAGAACTGATTACTTGTCAAAGTAAATCGACAGAAAGTTCAAATCCTTTCTTATAGCTTGACCTGATAATACCAGTGATGACAATGATAGAATTCGTGTTTTTTATTGGTTGGTTAAAAGTTGCACAGACGCGGCTTAATCCATTCGGTGACGATGATGATGACTTCGAATGCAATTATCTTATCGATAAAAACCTTGCCGTAAGACTTTGATCAGATTCGGAAATTTCGAAGTGAGCCATATTAACGGTAGTCTATCTGGATATTTTTAGCACAAATATTGGAATTGTTTTCCAGTCAGAGTAATTTGACGGGAATTCTAACCGAATACAGTAGATTAAGGTTACCCTAACCGTCATTTCATCAAAACAGCCTATGCCACGTGACATTTTTCAAAATAATTTAGACAGAAACTTTCTCTTACCTAATTTTGTCCTCCTTGGATTGATACAGTGAAGCTTAAGCTTAATCAATGTCGGACGGAAGTTCCAGCAATGAAATGACTAATCTAATTTAATAAACGTAACTAATCTAATTTAGTAAGAATTGATGAAGATGTTCCAGACAAGTTTCTGCACTGCTGACAACTATAATCGTGTACCTGAATTACAACCTGATCTTTTCTGGCAAAACCACAACGTATTTTCTACTTCTACGGATACACCGTTAACTGGATCAGCTGCAAATTTAAAGTACGCTTTTTAACTTACACAGAATTCAATACCATAGTTTAACCACTGACTGCAGTTTCATAAGTGCAGTATTTATGAATGTATCATCTCTTTTTAATTCCATCATTTAAATTCACAGTGGACTCAAGTGTATTCAAAATGTTTTTCACATATTTTATTTCAAGACTAGAGTTAACGACGAGACAAGCAGAAATAGTAAACTGTCGTTTGCAGTTGGTTTCCTTCAATTCCAGCCAAAGATTATCACAAATTTCGCTGAATGCTGATCACCGAAAGAGGCTAAAACAATTATTCCCACAATCACAATAAGTTTAGAAATGGAATAAAGAAATAAAAATTAAAAAAAATAAAAGTATCAGCATAAGTTTACGTCTTTTTAGAATGATTTTTTGACGACGACAAATTAGAAAGAATGGATATAAAAATGGGAATCTGCAGAAGTCCTCTAGTCTTCGCGATAGCGCATTATTCAAATGCAGATTGACTGATTTCACGAGTATCAGATACTATGTATTTCTGAAATCCTTAAATATTGCTCAAGGGTTTTAAGGGTTTATCGATTCATAATGTGTTATTAAAGACCGTTTGAAATTCTTAACAAGAGCAAGAAGAAGTACGATATTTGCAAAAACCGTACACCAACTCAGCTTAAAATAGAATTTAACATTATTTACAACTATAGAACAATGAAATGTAACCAAACATTATTGGCATGCAACAACCTGCAAAGTAGTGATCTGGAAAAAGCTATGAATATGGTAGCGTCACGTTACTGTAAGTTATTGAATGTTTGGAAAAAGTTGCTTTGTTATGATCTTGCTTCGCACATACGCCAGATCCTTAACAGGTTGAGCAAGACGCCAGAATAATTTGGTCTATTATTAAGTATCATAAGGATATCAGAAATTAAACGCTTTTTCCTTTTAGATCATTCTAAGGAATCAATCAGCCGACCATTGATACAGTTAAAGCAATACAGTACATCGCAAACTAACTATTTCGTATCATCGGATCCGAGCATGAACAACGACATGGAAAATGAGATAGAAATTACTCGCTTATAAATTTTCAATTCATCCTTAAATATGCCCATGAAGAAAACGAATCAAAATTGAGTGATTTTCCTAAAACATCCAATAAATCACCCAAGCTAATTTATCCTTCCGAAGTGCTTTTCGTTTTTAAATATTATTTGTGTAGAATACAAATAATTTGCTTAGTAACCACTCAACAATAACATTTAGAATTATGCAAATGTATTCTGATTTACACGGGACTGAATATGGTATCTTCAATGTAGCAGTCGGATATGACATGAAAAACTGAGCAAAAATCCAGAATGATGATAGATTAGTGATCGGATGAGAAGATAAATTTAACAGATTGAAGATAAATAATCAAAAATATTTGTTAATGCTATGTCATGAAAACGTTTAGAAAGATCAGGGTACGCATTAACAACAGCACGTGCAGCGATGTAAAACAAGCTCGGCGGTGTGATCCAACATCTCTGGAGCTGATTTGTCCGTCTTTCGAACTTTTCATCCGTGGTACCACCAAAAATATATACACAACCTTCCTACGAATATTTGCTCTTGATGAAGTGAAAAAATAATTTCAATTTTATACTAAAAAATCAGAAGAAAAATTAATCTTGGAGACATTATTTCTTCATCCATAAACTCCATATTTTTTGGAAGAACAAAATGTTTCCACGACAGGGCCACCTGTAGTATGAAGATTTTTTGAGTCCTCAGGCTTTATGAATGAAATGAATCTGATTTAATGCCTGTCCTAAGATGATTTAAACATTCAACAAAATTTAAAATTTCCGAGTTGTTATGAGAATCAACTAGAAACAGTGGGATTTCTTTCTTAAAAAGATTATTGAGATAAAAGATATTTGCGCATACTGGAGTAACGGTAGCTGCATGGAAACATATTTGCTGATTTAGTTGGCCAGGCAGCAATGTCCAACACCACTCCTTCAAATCAAGTTTCCAACAATCTTGAAGCAATTTGGGGCGCTGCAACAATCCTTCCTTTAAATTTGATCATGGACAACAAATCTCTCCTCCCCCAATATTCCTATTGCCACAATTGAATAAACTGTAAATTGTAAAGATCCATGAAATATTTTCAAAAAGCATCGCGCAACAATATGTTACTTGAACAGTAAATGTTACAGAAAAAACAAATTAAATATATTGAATGACAAGAATACCAAAACTATTTGATCAACCAACTGGTGTATTACTGACTTTTCTGTACAACCACCAAGAATGTAAGCATTATTGCCAAATTTTACGCAACCGTAGTATAATCGACCCTTAACAACAGAGCACTTAAAATGTGAAAGGAAAATAAATGTCAATCATGAATAAGAGACAACTTACAAAATTTACATTCAAACTGTATTTTGTTCCGTGTAATTTTTTAATATCGATATACGATACGAAGCGATAAAATGAAAAATGAAGCAAATTTTTGAATTAAAAGAAACATACTACTGGATATCCATAATTTATGTCAGGTAAGGTCATTTGGGTGCGAAATTTGTTTTCCGATGTATTGAATACTAATAACTAAAAATTGAGACATAAATTATGCATACATACATAATATTATAATTTGAAAAAATAGCTAAAGTTAAGTTTTTAGAGGTACCGTTAAATGTCTCATTTATTTGGTTTGCCTCAAAATTAAGCTAAATTTATTTTCAAAAATATTAAACAGAATTACTGAAGTGTTTGGTAAGTCACTTGACTGCTGGTAATATTTTTTAATGCATAAAATGCTTTATTCTTTATACTGTAGTAAAGGCAAACCTCTATAAGAGGTGAAGTCCATTCCGGAGTACCACCACCTATAAGTATTATTTCATCGTTGACGACTACAGCTTCATGTCTATATCGGCCATTGACATCTGATCCATCCTACAAAAATAATTTTGATTCTCCTGAATAATCTTTCTATTCGAAAAAACAGTTAAAACTGCTCGAACTCGAATGCATGCGAAAAAATTGGTAACGAAGACAAAACAAGAAACTTGCAAATTACATGAAGAAGCGTCCATCGCCAGTGAACTGGTTCTAGTTCGTCTCTCTCATCTTCTTTGCCATTGAATTCAGGTTCTAAGCTACGAACTTGTAAATTATATTCCCATCCAGTTGTTCCACCAAACGCATAGAATTTCCCATTATTATGCACAAGACACTGAAAAGGGATAATTCCAACTACAATTCCACCTAAACGCNTAGAATTTCCCATTATTATGCAACAAA